TGAATTGATGATTAAATATTTACCGGGTGTTATCTATTAAAACCTGTTTTTTATATATTTATTTTTGTGACGGCTTTTGATTATCTACAGGAGAGAGCGGGGCTGAACACACACCTCATCCCAGGTCTTGAACATCCCAGATCTTAAATATAAGATGGTGCTGATCAATGGTGATTAATAGGAATGAACAACGTATAGGATCAGAAAAACCGAATTGAGTTAATTTTTCACATCAAAATTGGACGGCAAATTTTGTCTTTCATACTGGACATCACAAACTAAGTCTTTAATAGTAAGGACAAATACCAAAGGTTAATGCATAATAACTGTATAAAATATTGCATTTAATACCAGAATTTTGTAATACGATATTATTTTTATATTTTTTATTTCATAGCTTACTGTATGATCGTCTCGAGTATTTGAATTTTCTAAAAAAAAACTCAATCAAGTATCCCACATCCAAGTAGTAGATTCATAATGAAATTCCATTTATATGAAATTTCATATATGACAAGTTTCTGTTTCATATATGAAAGCTTGACATGTGAAATCGATTTCGCAGTTCACAAATGAAAAGCCACGTGTGAAATACATTGATGGCAAATGTGAAAATTTTACACGTGTGAAATTAATTTCAAATGTGAAAATTTGACATGTAAAGGTTTTCAATTTCACACTCGGTTGATTTCACATGTGAAATCAATTTCACATATGAAAATTTCACACGTTAAATCAGGGACGTGCTGGTGTCTTAAAAAGGACAACGACTGAGTAACGTCTGATGGGGCCCAGGCCCAGTTACGTGAGTTACCGATGCCTCACTATTAATAATATTAATGGGGGTAAAGGTCCCCAATTTTTTCGGACATATCGTCATTTTTCCGGATATGCCAAAAATTTTCCAGGCAGACATATCGTAATTTGGGTTAATTTTTTGTTAATATTTTCGTAAATTTACATTTTTACAATATAAATTGTCAGTATGTCTTAATCTTGATTTTCAAAATTAAAATCTATATTTTTAATATTTTCCACTGTTTTCATTTTAGGGGTCCCTGATGGCAGGGGCCCACAACGAGTTGTCGTTGCCTCGTCCCTAGCCAGCACGTCCCTGCGTTAAATACATTGAACACATGAGAATTTCACATGTGAAATTAATTTTTCATGTGTCGTCTTCCAATTCCACATATGGATTTCACATGTGAACTATTATATGCATGTATATAATTTCCGTAACTAAGGGTAGTTTGCTGATGCCAAATGTTATTCATTCCTGATGAAACGTCGTTGCATACTCAATACCCAAATAATCTCTTTACGTGTTCTTTGTGGCTTTTAGTGAAAAGTTCCGAAAGTAATTTGAGAAATTTGAGGATAAATAAGAATTTCGTGAGGTCACGTGATCAGTCACGTATTTGCCATTTACTCAAAACGGTGTTGGGGTACAACTCGAAATTTCCATATTTTTACTTAAAGCACCATATTGAATCCGTTTTTCTAGGTAATACAAACCCATATGTGCTTTATTTCTCGTAGTTGTAGTTATGTGACGTCATCATGACAGGGATCTATATCGTAAATTATACTGCATAATAGTTGAATCATTTTTAAACTATCAAGGTTTTGGTAAATAATGATCCCAAATGCCAATAATATCAATACTCAGACAAAGCTGCATTCAATTCTCAAATGTGGAAAATGCCATATTTTATCCTTTTATCCACATTTGTCCTCCTCATCGCATTTTATCCCCTTATCGGCATTTCTCCCATCATCCTGAATAGCCTGCAAGCCAGGCGCTAGCTCGCGGATTACGGCATCTACATTTTCATCTGCGTATTCAAGCATCAGGCTACTCTCTTCCGCAGAGTCATATAGGATTGTAGGATAATGTAGGGATAGTAGAGGACATTTAGTGTGCGACGGGGGGGGGGTTATACCTAGCTCGTTTTGACTAACAATTACGTAATTTGTTTCCCAAGTAATACTAGGGAGATGCTAAGCATCATGGGGCGAGCCTGAGCCAGAGCATTGAGAGCAACGATAGCCAGCAACTATCATGCAACAATGATTACTAATGTCAACCTTTCTTGTATCCGCACTTTAATTAATTAAACTATCATTGGCATTGCAATGCAGTGTCGAAATTTCAAAGGCAAAACTCGTAGTATTATAAATGTTGGGAATTGTAGTATATCTAGCCGTGTATTATATTTGATATTTTGTTCAAAGGCAAAACTCGTAGTATTAATGTTGGGAATTGTATTTCTATCCATGTACAGTATAAGGCCTGTTCTAAACGTCGCATTTTACATGTGCCGAATGCATTCAAAACAATATATTGATAATCAGCTGAAATGCCTCATTATCCATTGTTTTGAATGCATTCGGCGCATGTAAAATGTGATGTTTAGAACAGGCTTTATATTTGATATTTTGTTGAAACATTAAACACTACGTTATTGAAATCACAATCTTTTCATTCTTTCATGCATGAAATATAAAATAATATAGAAATGGTTGAATGCATGCAGACCTGCCAAGTTCGGAAGATAAGAATGCGTGACCAGGGCCGTTGCGAGGACTTTGCCTTTGGGGGTGGGGGGAGATTAGATTTACCACCTGAATTGTTTCAATTCACCTGATTTTGAGTCGCCCACGAGGCACCATCATGGTTGGCGCCGAGCAAAAAATTTTGAAAATTTGAATTCTCTAGACTGTCGGAAATAGCATTTTTAGAGTCTTTCCTATACCCAAGATTTCAATGTTTTACTACTGCCTAACAATGAAGATAACTAAAATAACTACTGATCAATATGACAGTGTTGCTTACAGTTTAATGTGACTAGGAAAATTGAGAAAAATTTGGAATTTTGGAGTCTCCAGATCGTCAGAAAGCGTATTTGGCCATGTACCACCAGGCCACGATGCGTCTGACGCTAATTCTAACGTTGTTAACTCTAATTCTACGTTTGCACAAAGCGTTGTCAATGAGTTATTGTACGAAAAGTGGGATAGCGTCATATAATTGTAAAAATGCGTAACTTTAAGATCATTTTAGTCATGCGTGCGGGACAGCGGGAACAAAAGCAGAATGCGTAACTTTCACGCGAAATGCGGGAACCTTGGCAGGTCTGAATGCATGGTTTTTGGCAAGCGCGCTAAAAATAGCAGATGCATATACATGCACTGCATGTAAACAAAACATTTAATACGTACAGAGCCAGATTGCAAAAACTTGCAAATAAGGTCTTTTTTTCATAGTCGTAGAGAAAAATAACAGAATTACAGAATATTCAGCCCAAATCAAATCGAAATCGGGCTTTGCATCAGAATTTGATCCGCAACTCACTCAGAAATGGAGTAAAAGTAATTAAAAATTGCGATGGGCCTATAAAATCCTTAATAATACTGAATGTAAACAAAACATTTAAGGTAATTCCGCAGTAATTGTTCCCGAAATGAGAATGTGCTAAAACTTCCCAGGCATGGAGTTTATGATGTACTTAAAGTAAAATCCGACACAAAAAAGTCGGGTTACCGAACTCGTTACAGGTAAACTACGTGAAGCGTTCCTCTTTTGACTTCCTAACTCATTTGGAATTTCCTCATTAGCTTTGCAAATTTGAAAAACTCTTTGCAAATCCCTTGAGGGAATTTGCAATATTCCTATCGGCTGTTGCAATATTCCAATGCAACAAACTTCATTTTAATTTTTCCTAACTTCCTGTTTTAATTTCCTATCTTCCTGTTCTGTTCTGAGCGTTGTTATTGGTCGATTATTTTTGTTAGCCAATTGCAACGCCCTGAACAGAACAGGAAGTTAGGAACTTGTAACAGGAAGTTAAGAACTTCTAACAGGAACTGAGGAAAATTTAATTGGCTTTTAGCAACATTGCAAATTTCCTCAAGGGATTTGCAAGGGAGTTTTTTAAATTGCAAAATTAATGAGGAAAATTGCAATCAATTTAGAAACTCGAAAGAAGACGCTTCACGTAGTTTACCTGTAAGAAGATATGACAATCACAATATACCACCTTTACCCCAATATGGCGCCATCTTGACGCTCATTACGAGTAACAGCAAACTCACAACAACCCGATATTTATTGACGTTTTTAGCGCGGATTTTTCTTTAGTAAACCTATTTTGGAATTATTTTTGAAAAAATATTGTGTTTTAAGCAAAATGAAACTACTAACGTGTGAATTCTGATCCACAAATGTCTTTTCCACATTTCTTTACATATCTTTCTTTGAGAACATGCATTGATAAAGCATTTTTTTTCAAGATCCAGAAATGATTTTTCTTTTAATTTCGGATATGAAATGTAAAATGCATTAAAGAAATAAATTATCAGTTAAAAAACGGGGGTCACCGATTTTTTTTAGGGAATTGTGGCATTAAAATGTGAAATACAAGTAAATAAATATACTACAGGCACAGGGAACCCTAGCTACACTTTTGTATGCCTTTTTTGAAAATATTGATTTTAACGTAATTCTTTGCATGAATGTGGTTACATTCGAGTTGAAGTAACATAAAATTGTCATAAAATGATATTTTTTTAAACGGTGCGTATAATGGATAAAATTATAAGTTATAAGATGTGCGCAGTAAAAGTGCGCAATGCAAAACTGCGGAATTACCTTAATACATACTGTACAGAGCCGGATTGCAAAAACTTGCAAATAAGGTCTTTTTTTCATAGTCTTAGAGAAAAATAACAGAATTACAGAATATTCAGCCCAAATCAAATCGAAATCTGGCTTTGCATCAGAATTTGATCCGCTGCAACTCACTCAGAAATCGAGTAAAGTAAAATTGCGATGAAATATACTGCATGTGCCATGTATTAAACAAAACATTTAATGCATCATACAGAGAGCCAGATTGCAAAAACTTGCAAATAAGGTCTTTTTTTAGAGAAGAATAACAGAATTACAGAATATTCAGCCCAAATGACAAATCAAATCGGGCTTTGTATCAGAATTTGAACCGCAACTCACTCGAGTATTAAAGTAAAATGCGATGGGCTTAATAATACTGTCCACTGTAAATAATACTGACCATTCCAATTTCCATTTGTTATTTGGCATGAAGAATATATTTCATCGCATGTCGCATGAAAAATTGTCAGCCGGTGAGAGGCGAAAGGCCCGTAAAATTTACTGTAAATCACTGTATAAAGACTGAAAGTTCTCAAAATAGCCGGTGCGAGGCGAAAAGCCAGTAGGATTTAAATCACTGTAGGAAAAGTTCCGTGTACGTACGAACGCACCATAATGCATTGCGCTTGAGCTCGATGAGCCACCAAACTGTGGGGCTCGCCCCAATTACGTAACTTTACTAAAAATTCGTAAGGTTCTGCGGAGGAGAATGGCATCCGAGGCCATGCTTGATATAATGCAAACTGTCAGACACGGATGTTGTAATAATTCACTTCTAAATATATTTTCGCTGTGAACATCGTTCTGAATAAGAAATACTGTACATCTTTATAAGAAAAGCACAAGCCACCACAGCACTTCCTCTTCCGCTACTAGACATTGATTCGTTTATGTATTTTCAGACTTTATCAAATCACGGTAGACCCGGCATGACTAAAAGTATTAAAGTATTTATTTTCTTACCGTTAAGTGCGAGATGAAGTATAACAAACCGAATTAATGTATTCATTTCTTACTAAGTAGCTTTGATTCAAACACTTGAGTCGCTATAACGAAGTCTTGCCATTGTCATCACTGCAGTTCAACAATAAATATGCAGTCATTCTCAATGCGGAATTCGAGATTATGATTTACAAACGAAACAAACATCGAAAATAATCAGTCATGCATTGTCGGCGTTTGGCATTTCAAGTACCTATAATTTTCTTAAGATTGACACGTCGTATTCCGTCTGGCCACAGGCCACAGCGGTCCAATCCGAGGCCCAATCTCGCAAGGGTCGAACTTATACAGTATAGTAACGCTATATTATAGTAAAAATATGTCATAAAATATAAATTTTGAAAATGAAATTGACTTGCCTATTTGATAGTGTGTGTTCACCTTTTATTCCTCTTTTTGTTGGACTAATATTTTCCGAAACTTTGCACTCGATGGTATTAGTATACATAATAGTGATAAAGCCGCAAACTACTCACAATCGTCGATCAAAAATTCGCCAGCCGATGTATCGCAAAATACGCGTGTAGTTCCCTAATTTCGGAAAGACATTCATTTAAAGTACACTATAGTAAATTGTATGAAGCAAACTAGGTCTTAAAAACTTTACTTGTTTTGTCAGTAAAATCGCAAATCATAGATCCGAAGGCATGAGATATAAGCGAACGTCAACAACGCAGCTGAGGGAATATAAAACACTTCTAACGCGTCACACGTAAGACACGTTTACTTTGGAATATTCGTCTGCGAAAGACATTCATTTACAACTATCGGCACAAAATGATACAACGCACTTGTTATTTTCAAACAGCTTGGTGTTTTGGCAGGAAAAATCGCAAAACAGAATGGGCGTTGGAATTGAAAATCCGGGCGGGCATATAAGACTTTCGTCACAGTTTGTTTAGTCTGATATAAGCGAAGTTTGTCTTCACAGTGAATCTTAGCCAGTTGACTGTAAATTATGCTGAAGTTTGAATTATGTCAAAAGCAGTCCAATACTTTTTGCAAAAAATGGACCGCGTACAATGGGAAACAACATATTGAACAGTTCTTTTCAGAACTTGAACGAACTTTGGCTCTTAAACCGTTAGATATTTAGCACTAAGTTCTCCTCAGAATTTCGTATGTATTTGATCGATATCTTTCTCAGTAATCTTCATGTACATTAGACCTCGTATATATACACCATAGTCTCTCCATACAGTTCAACTTTGTGACAAACATGAGCCGGATTTTATTCGGGCGTGGAATCATCCCATGTGTCTACCAATCAGTCATTTTATAGTTTGACATGATTAAAACAGCCAGCCCAGATAGAAAGCAGGCTTACACAGTCAAAATATACTAGACACTTCCTCTTCATCCGTTATGACTTTATTACTGACTGTATTTTATTCTGCATTATATAGCGGTTGACAACTTATGGAGTAATATGGTGATTATATTTATATTATATTCCTGTTTTGCTGAACCTGTACAGTAATTAATAGAGGGTCCTGAAGGGGTAAAATGGAAACTGGGATTGATCTATTTTTAGACTGGGAAAATGGGATTTGGGTTGCTGGGACTGGGATTTGGCCACTGGGAATGGGAAATGGAGTCCTCAAAAATGGGAATGGGATTCAGGTAATGCGAGTCGATTCCCAATTTTTCTACGTTTTAATATTTTAAAATGCAATTTTGATCCGTTTTTGGTGTCTTTGGTCATGATTTTTGTTGTTAACTATATTTTTCACAGTACTACCCGCGAACAGGCATACTCTGGCGCTCGGAATTCTGGATTTTCTGATTATGCGTGTCCCCAAGTCAGATGCACAGCGGAATATATGCCCGGTTTCCGGTATATACTTCATTGCTGCCGCAGCGAGCGAGCCTGAAGCGAGCGAGCAAGGCAGCAGATCCTAATTTTGTTTTGTGGGTCGAAATCAAAATTTTCTATTTGGCGCATTGCATGACGGTACCAGTGAATTTTAACCGTGGTGCAGCGCGGTCAGGCATAAGGCAAACAGGCAATGTGATCACATTTCATCTTTGGTCTTCTTTTATGGAAAGCCATAGCTGGCTTAAAGTGATCAAACGGCATTTTGTTGGGTGCTTTTAGCAATATACGGCGGTGCTTTTGGCATTATACACGGTGCTTTCGCCATTATACGCGGTGCTTTTAATATTATACGCGATGGTACCTTTGTATATGATTTAACGATTTCTTAAATTTGGTATGTGCATGGTTGACAAATGCTTTTTGCCTATGGTCTGCAAGGACAATGACATGCTTTTCTGTGTATATAAATGTAAATCTCTCTCCTCCGCAGAGGCTTTTAAAGAATATGAATTCGAAGGAATTGAAATTGCGCTAGTGTAAATGAATATAACGCAGCGAATGCGCCAAACAGTATAAACGCGGCTGACATACAATATTAAAATCTTAAATGTGCCGTATGATTTAATTATGTTTTAAGATTTACAAATGCTTTGTCGTTTGTATCTATACTTGTACTGCATCGCAAGGCAGTACGTACTGTAAGTGAAAAAACTCCACATGTGAGATTGTCTTGTATATATTTTTGCTTTCTTTGATAAACACTATTAAAAACGCAAATTTTAATTAGTGAGACGCAATGTTAAATGTCACCTGCATGTCATTGTCATTGCCCTTTAACCCCTGGTCTAATTGGCCGCTTTTGAAAATATTGATCATGACGAACCGCACTGCCTTAAATGCAAACTTTGTGTTTTAAAAACGGGTTAGGATAAAACGCGGATACGGACGGACGGATGAATGAACGATAGTCTGCGCGCAGCCGCGCAGGGTAGTTAGTGCCTTACGTCTTCGCTGGTTGTTATACTTTAAAATATTTCTTTATGTACCGAGAAATCAATATTCCAAGTATATAAATAATTATATAAACTGGGATGTCACACTGATAGCTTGTTTACATTTCCTGGAGCATCATGAAATCTTACGTTTAACCACGGTGGTTTAACCCATTAGCTGACAATGCGCCCTTCCCTTGTCAAGCGCCAGAAGATTTTACTCGTCAGTGGTATAGGGTACTGCCAGTAAATGGGTTAACAAACCTATCTGCCAATGGCTCTTGTTAATTCATCAGCACAGTAATGACCCCTACTTTAGTATTTACCCTGTCCAACGCCAGACGATTTTTAATACTCAGTCAGTGGTAGGGTACTGTCAATAAATGGGTTAACAAGGATAACAATAATTAGCCTGCATGGCAGGCGGTATTTCCCAGGCTTGCCCAATTTTAGGAACCGCCTGCCATGCAGGCTAAACAATAATAGGATGTTTCTGAAGGACTCGTTCAACACCCTGTAGTTTGTCTTTTGCTTTCAAAGGCAGCATTACTGCCCTGTGGGTAACCTAGTTTAACCCTTAGTATATACCTCAAAGGCAAAGCACAACCGCTTCTGCCACACGGTGCGCACACACGGTGGCTTAAAAGGCTAAAACTGTTTATTCTACCGATAAATAACGGGGTTTTTATTGACTGGGATTTCAATAACTTGGACTGGGATTTCTAATAAAAATCCAACTGGGACTGGGATTTTGAGTTCTCAAGACTATATAAAGACTTAAAGCGGTACCCGTATTAAATGAGAGTATCGATCCGACCGCGAGCCACAACTATATGGGATCAATTTCATAGGATGTTAGACTGATTTCCTGCGTGAAAGGCTCATTAATACCGCTATATATACTTTTGGTCTTGGGGGTGAAAGTGGAATATTTATACTTAAACATTCAATGTCAAATAGTATACCAAATCGAATCTTCCTTTTTCTCTATATTCCTTAAATTTATAGTTATATATTGAGGATCCAGATAAATTGCTCCGCCATTATAACGTGCACTGTTTCCAATAAATGAAACATTTTGAAGTTTGAGTGTTGACTTAAAATTAAGTTGGAGATAAAGCGATCCTCCGTCTCTCATTTATAACAGTGAGAGAAACACTTGAAAATATAGCAATTGCTCCTCCTTGTCGTGATAGATTGTCCAAGAATGACGAGTTCCATATATTTAACAAGACATCACATTTGTCATGTGATCGTGACATCATATACAGCGCCCCACCATAACCATAACTCAACTCATTTTCATTAGAAACATTCTGCATTGTCGAATTTTGAATTAATATAGTAGTCGACCTTGCCGATACAATAGATACAACTCCCCCACGTCCACTTGTAGGATTTTTACCATTGCGGAATGAAGAATTAATAATTAAAATGTTGCATTTACGGCTCGCATTAATGTTAAACACTCCTCCACCTTCGGATGAAGGGTTGATGAAATCTTCCACTTCGGTGTTTAAGACATTAATCTGGACGGTTTGACCGGCAAGTTGTAGAAACCGACAAGCACTTCTGTGTACACGGCAAAACTCTATTTTTAAGACAACATTGAAAACCTGGTTAAAGGTAAACTGTTCGAGATACCCATGTTGTGATATCCATTTTCAACAAGTAGTACTTCAAGGAGGGAAGTATTTGGCGTTCCACGTTCATTATTTACAAAAATCATTCCGTTTTTAAACAAAGATTTTTTTGTAAATCTTACATTCTGCATCTTCATATTTATATCACCGTTGTAAAAATTCAACCAAAGAATGGACGACCTAGAGGTAGGTATTTTAATATCACCATTGCTCTCGAAAACGGAGTCTTTTACGTTAATAACAACATTACCCTTTCTTGTTCTGTTGCTGTTCACAACCATACATTCCACGTTTTGTTGAAACAAGACATTGTCAAGGGTCAATTCGAACCAATCTAATTCAACTATTCAGAAATTCAACGCCGATGGTTTTGTCTCTCCGAATGTACAGTCTTTAATGTTAACTGAAGCGTCGAGGAAGTCAAAAGATGAATTTGTAAACGCAAGTCCTTTGAAATTAACTTGAATTCCTCCTTCCCTTCCACTTCCATCAACCATCCAAAAGTTTCCTTGAGAACACGCAATATGAGCACGTGAACCAGTACTAACGATCGACATGTTTTTGGCAACATAATTTTCCGTTCATGTTCTTTTGTGAGTGGTTGACATGTATAAGTACACTGCCATGAAGTACCGGCTGTGCCACCGAGGTAGGCGATAGAGCCCGCTGACACTAGATGTATTGCATAAGATATAGTACGACACGGAGAGGCTTGGGTTCCACAACTGGTCGTATCTTTGCCAGATAGAAGTGACACAAATGCATCAGACGTTACCAAAGTAATTACAAAATAAGAGCTGCTATGTCAATATTTTTATAGATTAGTTTAACTGGACGTGTTATAGCTAGTTTTCGATGCCACATCACCTTCCCTGAATTGACTTTATTGAATAACTACTTTGTTCCTCAACTAGCGCATGCTCTTCCGATTCCAATCCTGAGCCCGCAAAACGATGTCTGGGTATACACTTTAAACTCGTTTCGTGAGGTTTGGACTACACACAGCTAGGAATGTCCTAATCCGATATTTACAGAATAACTCAAGGGATTTAATTACCCGTTTTCATGCAGACCGCCAATACAGGGATGTAATTACATTTAGTTCAAATTTGTTGATATCTCCACAGGAAAATGCGGGTTGATGAATATAATTGAATTAAATTGAATTGATGGCACCGGGTGTTATCTATATAAAATCCGGTTGTTATGTATTTATATACCTACCACGCCTACTTTCTATTGTTCTCAATCGGTTTTGGTATTCCACTCAAAACCTTGCATTGAAAGTTGGTGGCGGCTTTTGATTATCTACGGGAGAAAGCGGGGCTGAACACACACTCATCCCAGGTCTTATACCTTACTTGCATTAAAATTCGCGCAGTACTAGAGTTTGCGCAGCGCTGGGTGCGCGAATTTTAGCACTGCGCGAAATATAATCCGCGCGTAAAAGTTTTGTGGTGTAATATGAGACACTAATTGTTAGTAATGCAAATCAGTTGATTTATTAACTGATTTGCATTACTATTTGCATTACGTTATTGTATTAGGAAAATGTTTAGTTCTTGTTGGTATTTTGAACTCGCGCTTTACTGTTATCATGAATTTTGCTTACATTGCATAATTTTGAAGCCATTTTTGAGGTCACCTTGTTCATAAAGTATTTGTTGATAAAAAATACTCATTATAAATACGTTAATTGTTAATAGTTCTATTAATTAAACAAACCAAAAAGAACGAACACCGAAAATTACTTGCGCGAATTTAAAGCTGGGCAAATAAGTCTCAACAAGGTGCGCGAAATAAAATCGCGCGAATTTAAAGCCTGCAGCTGAGCGAAAATGAGTACGACGCGAATTTTAATATAAGTAAGGTATATAATATGGTGCGGATCAATGGTGATCAGGAACGAACAACATTTAGGATCAGAAAATAATTTTTTTGACATCAAATTTGGACAGCAAATTTTGTCTTCCATATTGGAAATCAAAAACTAAGTCTTTAAAACTAATAATTGGACAAATATCAAAGGTTTATGCATAATAACTGCAAAAAATATTGCATTTACTGTAATACAAAAATTTTGTAATACGATATTATTTTTATATTTTTAATTTCAAAGCTTACAGTATAATCGTGTCGAGTATTTACATTTTCTAAAGGAAACCTTTTCATATCCCACATCCAAGTAGTAGATTCATAATGAAATTCCATTTATATGAAATTTCACATATGACAAGTTTCTGTTTCATATGTAAAAGCTTGACATGTGAAATCGAATTCACAGTTGAAGTGTTCCACTTCCACATTTTGATTTCACATGTGAAATCGATTTCACATATGAAAAGCTACATGTGAAATACATTGCACATGTGTAAATTTTACATGTGAAATTAATTTCAAATGTGAAAATTTCACATGTAAAGATTTCCAATTCCACAAGTTGATTTCACATATGTGAAATCGATTTCACATATGAAAATTTCACACGTGAAATGCATTTTTAATTTCACATATGAAGTGTTCCACATTCCGTGATGATGCTAAATTTTATTCATTCCTGATAAACTTTGCATACTCAATACTCAAATAATCTCTTTACGTGTTCTTTGTGGCTTTTAGTGAAAAGTCCCAAAAGTAATTTGAGGTAGGTACCAAGTATAAACCCATACGTGCTTTATTTCTCGTAGTTGTGGTTATGTGACGTCATCGTGACTATCATTTTTTAACGTACTACCAAGACTTGGTAATTTGCGGCAATGGGTTATTCAAGTCCTTAATTAAATAATGATCTCAAATGCGATCGAATTATATCAATACTCAGACAGTAGCTGCATTCAATTCTCAAATGTGGGAAAAGGCCACATTTTATCCCTTTATCCATATTTGTCCCCTCATCGCATTTTATCCGCTTATATGCATTTCTCCATCATCCTAGCCTGCAAGCCAGGCGCTTGCGGGTTGTGATATCTACATTTTCATCTGCGTATTCAAGCATCAGACCATGCTGACCGTCAGACACGGATATCGTAATAACTTCTAAGTACAGCTAATTCGAAAAAGGTTTTCCTTTGCAACTCTTAAACTCTAAACTTTAAACCTTAAACTCTAAGCGTGCAAAGCATAATGGGAGCATCATTTAATCAGTTTAGAAATCATATACGGGGCTCATTTCTTCGAGACATGGTAAATATCTCCTTACGAGAACAATTCATTCAAATAGCTGCTATATTCAACTACTAAGCTTGAAACTTGTACTACCATTAAGCTTTTCGCGCTTAGAGTTTAAAGGTTAAGGTTTAGAGTCTAAGGTTTGCAAAGGACAACCTTATTATAGTTGGCTGTATATTTTTGCTGTAAACGTCGTTCTGAATAAGAAATACTGTACATCTTTAATATAAGAAAAGCACAAACCACTTCCTATTCCGCTACTAGACATTAATTACGGTTTATGTACTTTCAAACTTTATTAAAAAAATCACAGTAACAGTAACCGCCACCATGCTAACAAGCAATAACTGGCTGTTAGTGCTATATATAGGTGATAGCCTGATAGGTCGGTGCCGTACGTTGCTTATCTAGGCCTAGTAGTATTTCCTTACCGTTAAGTGCGAGTACTGCGAGAGGAAGTATAACAGATAGAATTAAGGCATTCATTTCTTACTAAGCAGTTTTGATTCAAAATACTTGAGTTGCTATATGCAAAACAAATTAACGGAGTCTTGCCATTGACATTGTCATCATTTGCAGAAAGTATATGCAGTCACTCCGGCGAGATATTGATTTACATGACGAAGCAAACATTGAAAATAATCAATCGTGTATTGTCGGCGTGTGGCATTTCAAGTACGTACCTAATTTTCTTAAGATTGACACATCGTATTCCGTCTGGCACGAGCTTATTATAACTTTTGCTTTCGGGAAACACAACGTTTGGAGAGGGAGTGGACTGTCTATCGATTTGGCCAAATATGAACCTGAATAATAACGAGCTTTTCATTTTTTTCCATTTTTGTTTTATTTGCCCAATATATATATATATATATATATATATATATATATATATATATATATATATATATATATATATATATATATATATATATATATATATATATATATTTATATATATATATGATAGTTTTGGAGTTGAAGCTGGTCTAAAATTCTTTTTAAAATACTAGAATATGTACAATAAAAAGTCTAAAAAGTTCTAAATTTTCGGTTGCTAACTGCAACCTTCATCAGAGTACTAAGAGCAGTTCGGATAGTTCAAGGTTTTAAATATCGTCATTATTGCCACATGATTGCACAAGCGATAAATACATGCGTGGGAATTCTTTGTGTTCGTTAATTGTTTTATTGTCTAATATTGAATGTATCGACTCGAGGAACGTTCGTGTTTCTAAATTATGTACTCTTTTCTCTAAGATGGTAGCATTGTTAATAGAGGCATTGTGTCCTGTGCTTTCTGCGTGGTCTTTGATTGCTGACTTAATTTCCGGTCTTACCCCTGGTTTGTGTTCTGGCCAACGTGATTTCCACGATCTCTTGCTTTCTCCAACATACTTAAATGAGCAATCTGGACATTCGAATTTATAAACAATGCCTTTAACCTCCGTGATCTTCTGCTTGTCTTTTGGTTTACCAAAAATGTCCCCTAAGCTTGGCATGGGTTTATATATTGTCTTAATACCAGTACTTTTAAGCAGTTGTTTTATCTGTTCTGATATGCCTTTCATGTATGGAATACAAGATAACCCTTTAATTTCCGGTTCGTCATTAGTGTTGGAAAACGACCTGCTGGAACTTGTCTGGAAAATGAATTTCTCTGGATATCCGTTGAGCTTTAATTCTTGGACAACACACTCCTTTTCTTGCTGTTTGGTTTACGAACGTTCCTCGAGTCGATGCATTCAATATTAGACAATAAAACAATTAACGAACACAAAGAATTGCCACGCATGTATTTATCGCTTGTGCAATCATGTGGCAATAATGACGATATTTAAAAACCTTGAACTATCCGAACTGCTCTTAGTACTCTGATGAAGGTTGCAGTTAGCAACCGAAAATTTAGAACTTTTTTAGACTTTTTATTGTACATATTCTAGTATTTTAAAAAGAATTTTAGACCAGCTTCAACTCCAAAACTATCATGTATATATATATATATATATATATATATATATATATATATATATATATATATATATATATATATATATATATATATATATATATATATATATATATATTAACTTACCAGGCTACCAGCAGTTACATGTAAATAGCATGTCAACTGACGTTTGCGCAATGTATGATGCTTGATGGCCTGTTTATATCTCTGTGAGAAATGTCCATTGTTAACATAATATGAAATAATCCTACCGGCCTACTCGTACAAATTCTATATTCTTCGATAATGCTCACAATTTATTTCTTATTGTATAGTTTTGCGGTTCTGACTGAGTACAATTTTCGACCGCTGAGTACAATGAATGGTGTCATCTTAACTTAACATATTAAAAAAAAAAATGTCAACAAATATATTTTGTCTCCCCATCAGATTGTTGGGTTGTTTTGCGATAGGGGTAGTAGTCTTGAAGGTGCCATGTAAATAATAATTGGGACAAAAACTGACTTAGTATTTCTATATATGACATTATACAGTATTCAGTGGCTAGCGAGCCATGGCAACTGGTCATGCTCTCCTAATAAACCTGTATCATTTGAATAATGCAAATAATTAACAATTTGCATAGCATGACCTATTGCTATGGCTAGCTTTGCTACAGATAGTATTATAATTATGCATCAGTCAAATGCAAGCGTGTCCATCGCCCTTGCAAATCCCCGGGCTTTTGACAGTTGGGGTGGGGATAAAAAACATGTAAAAATTCCCCCAGCGCCAGCGGGGCAAAAAATCAGTAGCAAATCCCCCACCACGGGGACAGCTGGACTGTTTGGCTAGAAAAAGTAGGTTATCCAACTACTTGAAAATAAAGAAAATACCTTCTTCGACGTTTCGAGCAAATGCCCTCTGAATTAATTAATATTTCGCCCAAGTATTTCGCCTGTGTTGCAGGCTACCAAGTATTGTTTGTCATACTGCATTTTGCTGTCATCATGCTCTAGAACATTTATTTTTAAGGTTTGCAGCGCGGTTCAAATTTATGCATTTTTAAACCACAACTTAACTGGTTTATATTGAATATTTTATCATGGAAGAGTTTGAGGGGGAAAACATGGAGTTTGTTTTGTTTTATACTATTATCAAGTTATCGGTGATCATAAAACCTCCAAATCCTTAATTTCTAATGCACCGCCCCCGTGCATAGTTTTGAGTTCAACCCCTGGGACGTGCTTTACAGGACGATGGGCATGCTTAGATTTGACTGATCATATAAAATCGCTCATGTCAAGAAAGTAGAAGAAGAATATTTAGCTGACCTTTGACTTTGTGCAAGGTGTTTGGTATTCAAATTGCACTTTTCCTACCTCATGAACAGGTGCCTTAGGGACTGTTTACATATTGGAAGGTGGAGTGATTTTGATGTATTGAAATAAGTCACTATAAGGCTAAATGAAAGTTCAAATACTGGTTAACAGAATTCAAATGTTGTAGTTCAAAAAGATTATTATTGCTGCTTGAACAACCTTTAGTGTACAGTTAACTATGTAGTTTTTTGCTGAATCATGCACTGTAATTTATTTCAATACATCAAAATAATCCCGCCTCACATCTCGTCCTGGCAAAGCAGGGTCATATAAACAACCCTTTATTCAGCAAATTCTGCATGCTGCCTTTGATCCCTTGGGAGTGAGGCATCACTTTCCTTGCGATAGTACGTAACTTCTAATTTTAAAAATAAACGTTGTCTAAGTCGAGAAAATCAAAGCTAAAGTTTACACGATTTTTTGTCAGATATAAAACCACCGACATGGTATAGTGATTTCCTTTGTCTTTTCTTTATGAATTATTAAAATTAATTAATTTAAATACATGTATTAGACCTAACCAGGAACAGCTAGTTGCGAAAAATGCAACTATAGGTCCCTGGCAGGAATCGAAGCTGCAGCCTTGCGATTCCGGTGCAGCGCTCTAATCAACTGAGCTAGAGAGGCCAGTTGTCGAGCTCTAGTAACAAGTTCATGTATATATATATAGGGTACTGCCATGTTTAGGTTATGGGTAGATATCGAGATTTTGTTGGCATCTCACTCGATTCCATCCAGGGGTCTTGCATGTAGATGGAAACTATCGAGTGGTAATTTTATATACATTTATTAAACCTAACCAGGAACAGCTGCGAAAAATGCAACTATAGGTCTCTGGCAGGAATCGAAGCTGCGGCCCTGCAATTCCGATGCAGCGCGCTAACCAACTGAGCCCCCTGAAACCAGTGAAAATCCTCTGAAACCAGTGTATGTTCCTGGTTAGGTCTAATGAATGTACTTCAACTATTATTGAATCGAGTGAGATGCCAACAAAATCTGGATATTTACCCATAACCTAAACATGGCAGTATCCTATACAGCTAAGTCAAAAAAGGTTGTCCTTTGATAAACCTAAAACTCTAAATTTTAAACTTTAACTCAAAGCGTGCAAAGCATATAGACTCGTACATGCACGCCCGAGCACAACGCGCGAGCGTCGTTTCACCACGCATTTTTGGGCTGCCTATCTTTGCATGCGAGAATTTGAAAATATTTTATTTCCAACACAAAATTTAGTGACAGTTTAGTTTTAAGAACATTTTAAAACGTTTTGTAAAGCGTTTGTGGTTGAATTTTACATTAAATTGAAGCTAATATTACGTATAATAACGTATAATGACATACGTAACATATATATATATGTTTGGGAAATTGATAATTTTGTAATTAGAAGTGATATTTTTTTTTTGGGGGGGGGGCTCGGGGGGTTCAATTTTAATAAAAAATATTCTTAATAAAATAATTATCGTGTTACTATGACATCTAATTTAAATACTTCATGTTCGGAAAATATAATAGTTTTGTCAGCAAGGCGAGGGTTTCTGCATGCATGTATTTTCCAGTATAAAAATGATCGTGTTGTCTCTGTGGTGTTATCATGACTGCAGCTGACGTCAGCTTGACACGAGCGTACATCTATACTTGCGTCATAGAATAAGAAATGAATAGAAGGGCAACTTGAGTCGGAACCTTTGAAACCTTTGAAGTTTTTGAAGCCGCGCATGTCGCCTCGCGCATACCGGAAATTGCCCACTCTAATTACTCGCAGGGCAAAAGTTATCCCGGTTAGCGAGAAAACCTTTCGACAAGTTTACAAGCGAGATCTTGCCTTGGTATGAAAATAATATGAAAAGTTACACTGCGTTCATATGAGACAAAAAGTTTTCCCGTGTACCGAGATCTCGCTTGTTGACAGGCGAGATCTTGGTGACCGGGATAATGTTTTTCCCATATGAACACAACTTTCCCGCTTAGCGCGATAACTTTCTGTCGTGTCAGCAACTTTTCAATTCAATTGATGTTCAGTGCCACGTCACAGCCGAAACCTTTACCCGGTAAGCGGGATAAAGTTTCTCCATATGAACAGAACAAAAGTATTTGGCTAGTCGAAAAGTTTTCTCGTTAACCGGGATAACTTTTGCCCATATGAACAGGCCCTTAGTGTTAGATATTTGTATTGCAGAATGGCCATTTGGCTGAATAAATTGACTATTTTTCGCAAACGAACGGTTCAAATTACAAGCCACGGCTGCTGGTTGTAATTTGAAGGTTAGTGAAACATTTCTGTTGGTTATGAGCTGTTAAAGAATTGCTAAATGCGAAATTTAAACGTATTAACACGTTAATTGTTGTTTACTTACAAAGTATAAAGTACAGTATATTAACATATGATAGTTTGGTTTATTTATTGGAAAAATTCGATGTCTTCGAAGTAATATTGTAGTAATAGGAATGAATGTTAATTCATAATCATGATATTTTAATTACGTAAATAAATAACATCATTTTCTGATATTGTTTGTATTTGTAGTTCAACATGTCAGACACAGACAGACAATTTCCCACACGAAATAAATTTGATTAATTGCTCGCGACTTTGAAATTTATACTTTTTTAAATAAAATTTGATGCAATCCAAAACCTGTCCTGATAAAATTTGACATAAACCTCGAAAATCGAAATATACAACACACTGTATACGCGATCGACTGTCAGCATTTCATTCAGATTCAGACTGTAGCTAACGCAACAATACCAAATTTCTCCCTAAATATTCGTTTCTTTCTATGCTAGCCACAACAATAATTTAGGCTTACATTGCCTCTGCAGGCAGTTGTAGTAGTTTGATATTCCAATCCTTTGTTTCCGAAAAATAGTCGATTTTGTGATCAAAATGTACATTTCGTAATACAAATCCCTATTGCACTGACTGGCTTTACTGGCTGCGAGCTTGAGAGATCCCACGCGTGCGCACTGAAATTGGTTACGCGTTGTACGCGCGAGTTGCCCTTCTATTCATTTCTTATTCTATGCTTGCGTACAGTACTAAGAAAAGTAGCAAAACCATTTCATCACGCTACTGTTTGCATATCCTCTAATAAATCATTGCATGCATGGATACTGAGTTTCCCGAATGGATTTACTGCATGCATGTACTTATGCGAAAACTCGCTTGGCCATCGACATAAGCCAATCACGAAAGCGACCCACACAAGAGGAAAAAACGTTTCGTGGAATTCTCTTCCTGAATTACGGCAGGCTAGCTTTTTACGTAAATTCAAGGCTGATTGTAGCAACTTCATTCGATAATTTTAATATTTTTACTCCTATCTATTATTTTAACAATGCACGGCACTCATGGAAAACAGGTATTAATAATGTATTTCCATATTTTGTTATTTGTAATGTCCCTTGTCTATTTTATTGTAAATCCTGATGAGTCCACCGTGGTTAAATAAAGTTCACTTACTTACTTACTTACTTACTTACTTACTTACTTACTTACTTACTTACTTACTTACTTACTTATACTTACTTACTTATACTTACTTACTTATACTTACTTATACTTACTTACTTACTTACATGGCGTCATGACGTCAATAACAACATGGCGTCATGACGGAAGGAGCTATTATTCAAGGCTCTTCACCTGCCATGCGAAGAAACTCTCAATCGGCTAATTTAGCCGAGGCTTTATCAACAATTGTTGATACAAACTCTCAAATACAAACAGACTGTAATAATAATTGTGATTCTGACGAAAATTTGACCGGATTTATTGATGATTTGGGAAGGCGTCTGCAAAGTACATCGAGCGAGATTGTCGTACGACAGCTAATCGCACGAGATACCGATGATTTAGCTGGCTTAAGGGATAGAGTATTGCAACTGGTCCGTTGTAAGTGGAGTTGCTGTCCAAAAGGCGAACTTCAGAGGAGAATTACAAGAACTAGGGGAACGTCGGCGTCAGAGAAGCTCGCACAAGATATTGTATTGCTTGTGAAATTTTACGAGAGCGGCGAAGGAAGTCAAGCGCTAAAGGATATATTTCGCAAGGTCAGGAATACGGATTGTAGTTACGCTCTCGGAGATAAGGAAGCGAACGCTTTGGATCAACCTAATCTCAAGAAACTACTCGAAATTTTCGAAGATTTAGAAGCAAAATTTGTTGAAACAAATATTCAACATAAAACAGATATTGACAAATTGAAAGACGAACTTAATCATATGCAATACATTTAGCCAAAAAAGACTCAAAAATATACTCGTTAGAAAAGGAGGTGTCGACGTTGCGAGCTAATTGCCGTGCTTCAAAAGAATCTCTAAATTCGAAATGCGAAAGCATCTGCGTCGAGATGGAAAATATTTCTAAAATGGCAGAACAGAGAAAGTCGAAGGAAAGTATTAAAATATTAACGAAAAAATTTTTTGAATAATTCCGTAGAGTTTGGCAACCCTGAACTTGCACCCCCAGGACCCAAGGGAGTTGTTAACAATGGTACTCAGCCACGATCCTTTGCCGCTATAGCGAGTGGTAGTAATGAGGACAATGAGCAAGTTACTATTGTGAGTGTTATTGATTGTGAACAAAGCCAAGGACAAATTAATACAGCTCTAGTTAATGATAATGATAGTAACAAAGGCGAGAGCGCAAATGACCCGGGACCGCCGTCGAATAATATTGATTGTTCAAAACAAAGTCAAGTAATTAGAAGTTCAAAAACAAGTAAAAATCAAAATGAAGCGAGTTTAGTTGACTCAAAGGAGTTTATTGGCGTGGAACGGCGCAACACAAAACGATTGTATCTAGGTGGTGTTAAATACAATACAATACAATACAATACAATACAATACAATACAATACAATACAATACAATACAATACAATACAATACAATACAATACAATACAATACAATAAAAATTTATTTATCCACGGTGGAATCTTCAGTATATAAATATATACAAGTTTAAGCATGCAAAAATAAATAAAAGAATATGATCTACTGGTTTACAAGATTGCCGTGTGGGAGTTCATCTAAACTATTATAATACTTGTTTACAGCTTTCCGGAACTGAACAAACGATTGGAGCATTCTTATATTTTCGGGAAGGCTATTCCACAGCACTGCTCCACTGTACTGAAAGCTTCGCTTCAGATAATTAGTTCGTGGCTTGGGTAGATTTAATTTCATTTCAAAGTTCCGAAGATTATATTCTGAGCCACGAACTGAAAAAAGATTTTGTAGATAGGTAGGTGTGTCACCTTTGAGTGTTTTGAACATCAAGCCAGCTTTAAGTTTTTTGCGTCTCAACGATAAGTTATCCAAGTGTAAAGTATCAAGAAGCACAGTAGCATTAGTGTCATAGCTGGACCTCGTAATGACCCTGACCGCCCGGTTCTGTAATTTTTGTAGTTTAGAACTTAGCGTTTCGCCAAGACCATCCCAGACCGAGCAGCAGTAGTCAAAATGAGGTTGAATCAGTGCTTGGTATACTTGGGTAGCCGTGTTCGTTGAAATGCAGGATCTTATACGTTTTAAAGCCCCTATGGCTGAAGCAATTTTTTTACATAGTTTGTCAGTATGCTCAGACCACATAAGGTGATTATCAAGATGGACACCCAGAGATTTTACCGAAGTAACTTGGTTGACCATATACCGTTTATCTCAATATCTATTTCATTATTTAGTGTTTTTATTCTCTGTCTAGATCCAACTACGATGAATTCTGTTTTTACAATATTTAAGCTTAGTTTATTAGTGGTTAGCCAATCGCTTAGACCTTTCAATTCGGTGTTAATGACATTTTGGAGATCTTTGGCAGAGTCGGATGCATAACTAATACTTGTATCATCTGCGAACATTCTGGCAGTTGTATGATCAAGACAGTTCGGTAAATCATTAATGTAGATGAGGAATAGCAATGGCCCTAGGCTGCTACCTTGAGGTACACCGCAGGCCACTGGCACAGAATCTGACAGTTGACCGTTTACCCGGCACTTTTGAG